GGGGTGGCCCAGAGCCAGCCTGGCCACGTCCTCCCTGCCAGGCCGCAGAGCCACCACTGCCCTCTGCCCGCATGCGCAGGCCGCGCCGTCCTCACCACTGTCTCCGTCCCGGGACCGCTGGGTGCTGTTTCCTGCCCTTCCTGGTGCTGTTCCTTGTGCAGGGACACCCTCACTCCCGTTCCCATCCGCCCTTGAGCCCTCAGCCAACGAACTACGTTAAATCCGGTAACAGCCCGTGCAAAGGCCCTGGGGCAGGACCTCGCCTGGCAGGCTGGAGGCACAGCCAGGAGCCCCGGGTGGCTGAAGTGGAGGGAGGGAGTAGAGGGAGGGGGAAGGGCGAGAGGGGCCGGGCAGGGCCAGGGGGCCATGGGGAGGCCTTGGGCCTGGACCCCGAGGCAGGCGGGAGCCACGGAGGACTGTGACCGGGGAGGGTGCGCCTGACTCAGGCCCCCTGGGGCTTCTGGGGGGAACAGACTCAGTCCGAGGGTGGGAGCTGAGGGCCAGGCTGAGACACCCCCGCTGGTCCGGCGGGGACGACGGGGGGACCGGACGGAGGTGGGGTACCAAGAAGTGGCCGACTCCAGGGGCGTCCCGGAGGCCGAGCTGTGTTCTCCCGGCTTCGCGGGAGACCCCACGCCTGGGTCTTCCTGGGAGCGGGCCTGGGGGGTCACGGGCCCTCCGGTCCCCTCTGCCCCAGGGGCCCCGGAGCCCCGGGTGTCCTGCAGTGCCAGCAGCCGAGCCTCGCCCAGGACCTGGCCCTGCCTGCGTGACTCTTCCAGCCCCCAGCAGTGGCGGATTTGGGGCCTCCCCAGCTGGGCCTGGCGTGACTCCAGGGTCCGACATGCCTTGGGGGCTCCCGCCCAGGCCTTCTGGGCTGTGGGCTTGCATGCGGCCTTGGTTTCTCCAGCGGCGCCCAGCCGGCCCCAGTAACCGGGGCTGCCCCCCGCCCCGTGCGTGAGCAGATGTGCGTCTGCCGGCGGGCGGCTTCCGCGGTCACCCCAGCCCCAGCTGGCCTGGGCTGTTGGCTCCGTCCGCGGCCGCTGCCTGGCTCCCCAGCCTCGTCTGTTCTTAAAGGGCCCGGGCCGGGGACTGTGCCCTGGGTCCTGTGGTCTCCGTGTCCCAGGTTCCCAGCTGGACGTGTCCAAGGGGGCCTTGTGGTCTGACTGTGTGCGTCTCCGGCACCTGGCTGTGTGTCTGTGGTGTGTAGGAAGGACGTGGCCATGCACGCCCGCACTCGTCTGACGGATGTGTGTGTGGTCTGCTGACCGCATGGCCCATCTGCAGTCTGACTGTGCGCCGGCGCCGTGTCTGGGTGATGGTCACCCGCTCCTGCACCCACAGGCACGATCTGACTGCGTGTCTGCCAGCGACGTGTGTGCTCAGCTGGCCCAGCTGTGGTGCTGTCTGTGTCTCATCTGGTTTAATGTGTGTCTTAAGGCCGGATCTGTGCATGTGCATGTCTGTTTTGTGGTCTGACTGTGGGTGTGCGTGTGCCCATCTCTGTTGCCTGTGTGTGTGCGCGTCTGTGTCCATGTGTGTCTCCTGCCTGCCTGTGGTCCGGCGGCATGTCTGTGTGAGTCTGGCTTGGTCGTGTGTCGGGATCCGTCTGTGGTCTGACTGTGCGTCTGGGCATATCTGTGGCCCGGCTCTGGACTTCCTTCCCCGTGTCTGGTCTGACTGTGTGCCTGGGTGAGTCTGTGGCCTGACTCCCTGGGCTTCCTTCCCTGTGTGTGGTCTGACTGTGTGCCTGGCCCCCGACTCCGAGCCCCTGACCCCGTCCCTCACTCTGGGCCGTGACCCGGCCACCACCAGCCCAGCCTTTCCCTGCGGCTGCCCCGGGGCCGGGCGGGGCGACCGCAGTTGGGTATTTTGGGAGTCACAATCACAGGGCGGCCCCGTCATGACGTGGCACCGGTCCCTGTGGCCGCAGCCTGGAGGGCGGGTGGGGCCGAGCAGCCGTGGAGCCT